AAAGGCATTTTTCCCACTGATTTCCATTCCAGATTTAAACCTTGGTAAGCCAATGTTCAAATCATTGCTATTATTCTGATCATGAGCCATATTGTAATAGCTCCATGGATAATATCTTATTCTTTGCTTTTGCTGTAAACATGCTACACATCAAATATATTCCTATGTATCCTGAGCTTAATGTTAATACTTGAATTTTATTCTTTAAAAGTAACATTAGCAACATCTGTTAGAAGATGGATAATAAACAATAATACAATTAGTTTCAGTAAAATATCTTTCAGTTTCCTCACATCTACAACTATCCTCATAATTTCCTTGTTGAATAAACTAATGGTATTTCATCAGAAACCCACAATCCAGACAGACTGAAATTCGTAATTTTTTAGAAACCTGAAACAAAAGAGAATGTATAACCTCTCTTACAAATCTATTCCAGTATCTGAACTTTCTCGACGAGAGTGCTTTCTGAGGCTTGATCTTTCCTTCTCCTGGTCAATCCATTTTCTTTCCTTCTACCTTTAATAGGTAGAGAAGAAGAAATGATCTTTCTTTGTGACACAGATCGTAGGTGTGCATACTATTATGTCAGTAATACATAACTCATACCCATTGTTTAAGATTAAACATCTACAAGAGTCATTGATTTATTTAACAGTGGGCATTAAAACAGAAAAAACAAGGATGGATAGAAGACTCTTTTGTCTGATAAAGTAAAAGGCAATCCGTATCTTTTCTAGAGTTATATATGCCATTTTCAATATGGTTACCCCTGATGACCAATTCACTTGGAATTAAAGAGCATATTCCATGGAAGACATTAGATTTTTGATGTTTAAATCTTTTAAAAAATGATTTTTACAGGCCATCTCACAAAGACATATTTATTCGTGGCTAAAAAATGAAGGACAAGATTTCTTTTATGTAAATGTTTTCAGCCTCTACTTTATCTAAAAAAGTTTCTTTTAAAATGGCTGTACTGTTTCAGAAATTTTGTTTCACTCTGTATCTGTGTTAGTGTCTTTCCTCTCTTATCTTGCTTTTTCAAGGCAACAGACAAAATTCCATTTCTTAGAACTGAACCAAAAAGTTAGGGCCTAAATAAATCTAATGCTTAATAAGAGAATATTGAACCCAGTCAATTTTTAAAGAAGAGAATGTAAAGCATATAATATTCTGCTTCTGTAATTATAATAGTTTTCTTGGAGAGAACAGAGAAGCAACAGGGTTCATCCAGGTGCTGTGTATTAAGAATTAAATAATAAAGATATATAAATATAGTTGATTATTGTTTTAAGTTAAAAGCAACTGCAGTGTATAAAAATTTATTGTTCCAAAGCCTTGTTTAAGGAAAACCACTTTATTATGGGATTTATTTTACCTGCTTAGCTAATAAACTGCATAACAAAGACATAATTTTGTAGGTGAAAAGCCAAGTTCATTAGCACTTAAGTCATCTAAAATAGATCATGTCAAGTGTTCTAAGGGTTTTGGATACAATGAAAACATCCATTAGAATGAATAAAAATGATTCTAACATCATCACCATTTTTAAATCTTTTTCTATTTAGATATACACGACGTCACCATTATTTACATCATCATCATTGTCATAATCATTAAATATTTATTTTTTATTTTAATTTATTTTTTAAAATTATTTTTTAGTTGTAGATGAACATAATACCTTTATTTATTTATTTGTTTTTATGTGGTGCTGAGGATTGAACCCAGTGCCTCACACATGCTAGGCAAGCACTCTTACCACTAAGCCATAACCTCAGCCCCATTAAATATTTATTGAATACCCAGAGTGAGTAGAATCTACTTTTTTTTAATGCTAAATTCCACTCCTGGTAATTTCAACTTAAAAAATTAAAAGCAATCAGGGAATTCTCATTGGAGAATTGGAGTCAGGGAATAATTGGGCAGAGAATATTGGAAGACTCTGAAAATCTCAGATTAATAAACTTTTAGGAATATTGGAAGGAAAGATAATCTTTCACAGTGAGGGTTTAACTATCCATTTTTGCAAAGGACCCCCACCACTCTACCTAGCAGCTGCTGTCCTTCTTCCATGGCTGAGCTCTTTGTTGGATACCTTGGAAGCCAAAAAGAGCAACAAAATCCAAGGAAGGAGCTTTAGAGAATTAAAAAATAAAACAATGACAACAAAGACAAGTATTAAAAAAGTAAGCATTTGGAGAGGCATTTGGAGAGATCCCAGGTAAACTCAGCCTTCCAGGAAGATTTTTCCTTCTGGACCTTTCATTTTATATTGTTCTAGTGCCTTAAACCCTTAACTCTAGTATAATTTTAAATGAAAACAAATTGATTGTCAGATTATATTGCTATATTGTGCATGTACAAATATGTAACAACAAATTCCACTGTCATATATAACTATAATGCACCAATAAAATATATTTTAAAAAGGAAAACAAAACAGTAGTATAGAGCTTGGTGAAGTCCTGCCAGCTATTTTTCAAGAACCCTTATAAAGTACCTTGGTGAAGTTGGCCCTGCTCAAGGTCTCCATCTTAGCTTTATAAGACCAGAAACCCCAATTTTTTTTGGGGGGGGGCACCAGAAGCAGATCTGTTAGTAACAGACACATAATCCAGCTCACATAATGAAGAGTCACAGTTCTACAGATACTGATGTTGAGCAGACAGGGATGCTCATTTCATCAGAGCCCCACGGCCATGTATATTGGAAATCAAAACATTGGATGTTTGGTGCATGGGAACTGGACCAAAGAGAATTAGTTGATATACTGTGAAGTATTTCTACCCCATTTGTTGACTGTGTCACAACAGACATCAAGTCTGCATTACCAAGACTTATCCCCTCTGGGTGGTATTTGAATGGGCACTGTCCCTTCCTGGTTCTTGGGGTTGTTTATGCTGATTTTTGCTACTTTCAACCAATTCCTCTCTGGCACAAAGGCTTTCACTGACCAGGACTAACCAAGAGCCCAATGTTGACAGCTCTAACAAATACAACGCAGGATACCCAGTTACATCTGAAGTTCAGATAAACCACATATAATTTTTAGCATAAGTATATCCCAATGTTCCATTCAATATTTGGGCTACACTTATGCTAAAAATGACATGTGGTTTATCTAAAATCAAAATTCAATAGGAAGTTCTCTATTTTTATTTGCCGAATGTGGCAATCCCAAAACTGCCTTCCTGAGCTTCCTTGTCTATTACATTGACTGGTAATAGTTTTAGGTGTTATAAAGCTTTTGACACACACACACACACACACACACTTTCTTGCTTTACCCATGAAAAATTAATAACATTCTCCACATTTGAATTTACTGATTTGACTTTCAGAGAATTCTTCCTGATCTATACTTCGTGTATTTGTTGGGGGTGGAATGGATCATATTATCATTAACCAGAATAGTATGAAGTTGAATAACAATTTGGGGTAGGATAAAGGACTATTACAAATGAGTTCCTATCAGATTTCTTTACTTTTGCTGCATAGCTGAAACAATTTGCATTGAGGAAATGGGAGACAGATATTTTACTATGAGAGAAGGTTCATAGTAAGAAAACCTGAATGTTAGGCAGGTCTGAGGAGTAGTATTCTGTAGTTGAGTATCATGTCAGAGGCAGAAAGGTACCAAAGAAACAGAATACTTCAGATTTGTGGGTAGTGCTGCCCCTAGCCAGATGCAATGGGACCTGGAATCCCTTCCTTTGGCTGTCTGTCCTATTCTGCTAGAACTTCTGGGCTTAGCATCCAGAACTCAGATTGTTTTTATTAGCATGATCATACACCAGCATTTGTGTTAAATCCACTCAAATTTGTGGGCTCGCTGAAAAACTCACAATATTATAATTAACGATTTTTACAAGATGATGTGGGCTGATTTTCAAACTACTGACTTAAAGAACGAAATGTTGAAACAGAGCTTGGTCAGGTCCAGTGAGAATTGGGTATTGTACCCAGGTGGAAGACCTGGTCTTAATGCAATGTATTACTTATTACATCGATTACACATAAAAACACATTGTATGGATTTGATTGAATTACAATCACACATTCTTCAACAAAACTCTTTGCTGACTTCCTTTCTGGAAATAAAAAAAAAAACAAAAACTAATATAGTCTGAAGAGAGGTGGAACGGATAACAGTGCATACCTGTGTACCGTTAACTGTAGGAGCCAAATATGAACAAGAAATCTCTGACTTCAAAGTGTTTACGAATAAGTATATGCGACTAAGGCATTATAAAGCAGTGAGTTAATAAAGACAAGAGATGATGTAAAACCCTGTGGGGTTGTTCTAGAATGGGCTATTTTAGATTCCTAATACCTCTTTGCCCTCATGATTAGGAGATATAGAAAAAGCAAATTGAGTCCTGTATGACTCAAGAATGGAAGTCATGAATTGTGACCACACTTGCCATCAGACCTTGAATAAATTACACCGTCTTTAGCCTCAACTTTCTCCCCTGTTAAGTGGGTATTACAATATTTACTTGTGCAGATTAAACAGTAATGAATGAAGCACCTAGTCTTGTGCCTGGTAGGAGTAGTGGCTCAATAAACCCTACTTCTTATTAGCACCTGCTTTCAACTTTTTCTTTGAGTGATTGAGAAGGAAACATTTCGTGTAGAGTTACTGCAAGGGGCATGACTAAGACACACAGTTCTTACAAAGAACGCTCTACAGCCTCCCATTTGCGCCTCTTGCCTTAATCAAGGGCCAGAGAAATTCGGGTTCTTGAGAAAATGTTGTGTTTTTTCCTGTAGGTACCTGGAGAAGCCCGTTCGCAGCCTGGGTAGGGGGTCTCCGGGGGAGTCCTGGCGCCGGGACTAGAGCCGGAGCCGCCCCCGCGAGGGAACAGAGGGGGGGGAAGTGGGCGCCGGAGGGGCGTGGGGCGAGGCATCGGGTGTCACAGCTAGCAGAGCTGGGGCGGGCACACCTATCCGCCGCCCAATCCCCAGCCGTAGCCGCGGCCTTATGAATAAGGAACGAAGCGAAACGCCCTCCCCCTGGCGTCCCAGACAGCGGAGGGAGTCGCCGCCGCTGCAGGGGCCGCGGCGGGGATGCAAAGCGCCAGTGCCGCCGCTCTCCTCCGCGCGCTGCTTGGCTGAAAGCGCACAGGTGAGGACGGGCCCGGCTTGTGCCACTCGGGAAGCCGCGACTGCAGACGTGGCGCCGGGGCAGGGATCGAGCTGAACCGGAGCCTGGGGCGGCGCGGGGTCGCTCTGGGAGCGGTGTAGTCCCGGGAGTTGTGCAGCTGAGGCGCGCCAGGCGTGCGCCCTGCGCCCCTGCCGGAACGCGGTGCCGGGGCACTGGGTGCTAGGGGGCAGCTCCAAGTGCTTCGGGCGCGGCGTGCAGGCCTCGGAGGACTCACCGCACTCCTTGCTCCAGCCCAGCCTCCCGGCTGCGCACCAGCGAACGGGCCTTTGTGCTGGCGGAGCTTACAGACTGGCTGCTTTTGTGTGGGCTTTCCCCCCTCTTCTCTCTCTCTCTCTCTCTCTCTCTCTCTCTCTCTCTCTCTCTCTCTCCCCTCGCAATTCTACCTCGTTGGAAGTTCTCGAAGACTACGGTTTACGCCTTTCAAAGCATCGATCTCAGTGTAGCCCGTGCCACTCAGAGCCCAACTCGAGGAAGGATTGGGGGCTGTGGTGGCCACCGAAATGTGAAATATGCCCTGCCACTTTGCAGAAAACAAACAGTTGAGTGTTTAGTGCAGGGATGTCATGGAGCTTCCTTGCTCAGTCACCACTTCCTTGCTTAGTACACGGCTGGAGGATGCTCCCTGGAAAGGTCATTTAATTAAGAAGGGGGCCTGAGGGTTAGACTTGGAGGAGAGGAGTCTGTGCCTCTTGAGACTCTGGAATGGTTGAGAGGTGCTGCCCGGAGATGACCAGATATCGCATGTGCGTCTAGGTCACTTACAGGACCCGACCTGTACAGATTCCAAACGTGTAGAACACTGGTTAGCGAAGAAAGCAGTCAAACATAGGACCCTCTAGAGTTTGGGGTTCTCCAAGATGAGAAACTCTTTTTGCATTTCCAAGCCGACTCTTAGCATCTGTCGGGATCTTGGTACCTAATTTCAGTGCAGAACAAATGTGCAAGAAAACAGAAAGTTGCTTTAAAGTGTCTGCCTCCTTTCTTTGGAAGTTTTAGTTTGAAACGTATCGGGGAATGAGGAGTGGCTCACAAAACCATTCATAGAACTGCTCTGAAGGATTCTTCTCTGAGGAGCAAGTTGCATGGTAGAATTCGCATGCCTCCCCCTTCTTTTTGTGGATTTCCTTGATCATAAGTGAGACTGTTGGGCTGCTGGGAGTCTCCTTCAGCCAAGCATCTTCAAGTCACTGGCTGGCTTCTTTCTACACACTTGCCGGCAGAACCGTACTTGAACATCTATCAAAAGACTCAAAACTGGTGAGGGTTCACAGTATCAGAATATTGCACCATTTTTTAAACCTAGTAGACATTTAAGGGTAGCCAGACTTGCTCTTCTGATTAAAGTAGGGTTTGTTATATTTGCCGTAATAATAAGCCAAGCTCTCATGAAGCAGACTTGATATTGATTGCTTTTTTTTTTTTTTTAATACACAAAACTCCCAAGGCTCACCAAGTCTAAGGTAGCTACAGCAACAGAGCCAATTAGGGAGACGTGGATTTGTCTTTGTTTTCAGGGAAGGCTTCTTACCATGTATTCCCCGTGTTTCCTGATAGATTTTTGTAGTATCATAATTTGGTATTACAGAACCAAAATGAAAAATCTGGGCTTGTATGTTATGGGAAAATTTTACTCTTTAAAGGTGTCCTTCACTCTTTATTCAGAAGATGTTTGCTTGAAAAGTTGTGTATGGCATTATATTTTTGTTAATCAAATTTTATTTATTTCCACATAAGTAAGCAGGCTGATGAGAGGACATCTGAGTTTAATCTGTAAGATAAAAATTCATTCTCTAACATCTTGGTCAATTCTATTTTTTCTATATTGTGTTTACTTGGAAATTATAAGAAAAGTATATGAATCTAGTTTCAGCTTCCCTTTAAATGCCAACTAGTGCTTAGAGATCTTGCCAAGCAAATGAGGTTTGTGAACCACAAAGAACAAAAATAAAGTGTCAAATTGGGTCATTGAAAAGAACTCGGTGGTGGATAGATAGCAGTTTACTGATCAGTCTCAATCAGGACAGGATTCTGTAGACACCAAAGACTCTTAGGTCACTTCATCTATGTGAAAAGCTGAAAAGGGAAGCTCTATGGAAATATCTAGTGGAAAAATGGATATTACATTTGGGACTGATGTTATGGAGTCACATTTTATGTTATGCTCACATTTCTGTATTTTGAGGGGCATGCATATCAGCACCACAGTAACATCGTTAATATTGCATACTTATTTTTTTCAAACTGCTTTCATGTCTATTCTCATTTTTTTGTTTTGCCCTTAACTCTTTGAAGCAAATAGAATGAGCATTATTATTATTGTTTAGCATGAGCATTATTATCTCTATTTTTATCACAAGAAAATTGAGCTTTAGTGATTTGCCTAAGGTAAAGCTGGAACTTGAAGCCTATTTTTTTTTTTTTAATACCTTCAAGTCCTGCTTCTTTTGACACAGAGAGGATAATGTTGTAGGGGTAATTAAGCATGGACACCTTCATTTATTTACATAGTTAAACTATAGAGACTAAAGCTGGTGGGCACAATTTGGAGAACTTAGCTGTGTTCTGTAGGGAGGGGAAAGCACTTTGTTGGTGTTGAACCAAGCATACTTCTCTGCTTTCCTCCTGGGGGACCATATTTTCTTTGTGGTTACTCCATTTTCCCTCTTCCACTGTGATGGAAAATGCTGCTGAAAGGATCATCTGTCATTCCAGCTATTTAATTTATAGTGAAGGATGGTTGCAGCCCAGATCTTAGAGCCATTATAATAGACCAGTGACAGTTGTCAATAGCATGGTGAATCAGAGAGTGGTGTCTTAATGCCATGTGCCACAGCTGGGTTTATAGGGTTTACAGTCTTGATAAGTTCAGGTTTAGACAAATGGAATAGTATTGGCAATGAGAATCTTAGGATTAAAACAAGACAAGATACGGCAGTGACAAAGGGATCATTGAGAATCAAGAAAAGGACAAATGGGAAAGATTATTAAGACACCAGCCAAGGAGAGGAGTGTTCTTTTTCCTCGTCAAAGAATCTCTGATTGGGTTTTGAAAGGTGTGGTGGTAATTGAAAAGCAAGTTCATCTGAAGCTCTGAGACTTGTTGCCTGAGACTGCTGATCTATTGTGTGTGTGTGTGTGTGTTGTGTGTTGTGTGTGTGTGTATGTGTGAGAGAGAAGTAAACTCTGAAAACCTAAAATACAGCAGAAAATTAGAATATACAAATTATTGCTGTCATTAAAATGACACATTCAATAAATAACCAAAATCAATCATGTGTTGAACGAAACAGTTACAGAAGGTTAGACCATGAAATGTTATTGACAGTCTTACCATACAACATAGACACTCTGAACATTTGTTTTCCCATCCTTTAATGATTATTTATATTCACTAGGCCAGCAAATATTTATTGAATACCTCCTCTCTCTACCTACCATTGTTAATAATTATAGGGCTAACAGAGGAAGCTCAGAGATGGGTGTTTACGTGGAAGGAACACAATCTTATTTGAGGTGACAAGACTTGATGATTTGTGGTAGAGGAGCGGGGAGAAGGTGGGAAGAGAATGCACCGGGCATTTTTGTGACAGCAGTTCTGTTGGGGGCAAGGGTTTGCATATTCGAGGTAAAGAAGAAAAAGGGGTGTTGGGGCTAATGTAGTGGTATGAGCAAAGTTTAGGAGCCTGAACTGAGTGTGGCATTTAAGAGGGGACTGTACCTGGCTGGGGATGGTACTTGTACTTGGCACTGGTGGTGTGAAATTTATTTGATAGATATGGTATTTGGGAATTGTAAGTTTGGGGATATTATATGATGTGTTTTGGGAAGGCAGCGAGTTGAGGTGGTAAAAGCAGGGACCTTGAAGTCTGACGGAATCCAAAAGATCAAAAACAGACGCTATCACTTAAGTGAATTATGCTCTGTGCCTGCAGATTTATCATCTAAAAAAATGGGAGATCATGGTAGTACCTACCTTATCAGGTTGTTGTAAGGATTAAATGATTTCCATAGTCAGGTCTAACACTGGCCCATGGCATCTGTCAAAGGGTAGTCATTTTGATTGATTATTGTCATTTTTATTCTGAAGAATAAACCATCTGGACTGTATAAAATGGTTAAGAGAGGAGAGAGTGTGGACATGGTCACCCATTAAGATGCAATTAAGTTAATGACAATCCAATGAGGTGACTCGAAGGGATGATTCCAAGAGACATTATGGGGGAAGGACTCACAGAAGTTGTGAATCGAAAATGTAAAAGAGGAGTTCAAGCTGACAGCAAAGTTCAGATAAAGAAGATGGTTATGTTTGAGGTGGCATTCAAGTCGATGCTGTCTCTGAAAGAAGAAGAAAGAGCTGGAACTTGAAGGTCATCTGTCGGTATATCAGAGTTGTAGATGTGTTTCTACTGCTGTCCCTACAGACTGTCTTTTCTAGTTCTTTTACAGTTCAGGCTTTGCTTTGAATTGCGTGGAGAAGGAGAATATGGCCTCAAATATTTGAAGGTAGCAAAGCTTGCATTTATCCCTACTATCTTTCCTAACAATGAAAATCAGATTAGGTATCTTTCCTCACCCCACAGCAGCTATTTACAATATTTGTTTTATCATAAGAAAGGAAAAGCAGATTGTCACCAGTTTACTGTACAGCCCTCCTGCATCCTGAGAACCCTTAAGGCAGTATTCATGTGCCTTATATATTATACATGAAACTCGGTTTACCTTGGAGAGAGTAGCTTTGTCATCAGTGATGAGAATGGTTCAACATGCTGTTTTCCCCTTTGTGTCTTTAGTTTGGTAGCATACTGATATAGCGTTATCCATTTCAGTTGGAAAAACACTGATCAAGTATTTAGAAAATCTGAATAAGTCCAAGGCTAAGACTGTATTTTTTTTTTTTAATGTCGTCTTTCATTTGTCTTTGAAACTTGAATATGCCTGGACTTGACAAAGAAACAGACTCTGGACTGTATCTGTTTAAGATTGTCAAAGATAACGCTTGACAGAGAGCTTATCTGCCCACTGGTGGCAAAATGCAATAAATTGTTCAAGGCCTGCCAAGCCATTAGGATACCTTGATAGGGAATGACAGACACAGTGCTACTGACTTGCTCTGAAGGGGATGCTTTTAAAAGCTATTTGAAGCTAATATCCACTATCAGAAACTTGGTTTGAGTTTATTTATCTGAATTAATTTGCTTTGACAGAGAGAGGGAAGAGAAAGCAGCATCCAAAGACACAGCATGAAGGAAAAGAAAGAAAAGTGTTCTTTTTGCTTGCTTGTTAAATATTCTTATGACTAAGTTAATTTAAGACACAGAATTCAAATAAGCAATGAAATCTTCCCTCTTTCCACCTCTCGCAGCGAAGTGGGCTCTAGACATTCATCTGTTTGTTCAGCCAATATTTACTAAGCATTTCCTCTGTGCTGGGCACTTGGCCACATAAGGTTTAAGCATTCTGCAAAAAAGAAAAATATGGTTGCAGATGGTTATTTAGGTTGAGGTTTATTGTCACTGAAATGACAATGGTCATTCTTTTCCTATTTGTTTTCTAATGTCATGCAGTTTCTATTGTGGGATTCCAAACTCGTGAGAGTGGCTAGGTGAACTTGCACTGGGCCTCGAAAGATGAAGAAAGACCTGGAGCTTGAAGGTCATCTGCCAATTTATCTGAGTTGCAGATGTGTCTCTTTCTGTCGTTCCTACAGGCTGTCTTTTCTCCTTTTAAAGTTCAGGCAATGCTTTGAATAGTGGGGAGAAGGAGCATATGGCCTCAATACATAGCTAGAAAAGGCTTGTGGTTCACCCTCACTTTTTCCGCTGTAATTGGATTTAGAAAGCAGGTGGCCGGCACTTAATCACAGAAGGAAAGTCTTTTAGAGCCATGGCAGAATTCCCTTTACACAAAACTCCTGAAACTCAAGATGTAGATGACAATAAGACCTTGAAGAAAAATTCTCTTCTGGAAAGGCAATTGGGGCTATATTAAAGCTTATTCTTTGTTCCCTTTTCCCTCAATCTGATTTATTCATAAAATTCTTCTCTCAGCCCATATGACTGCAAAACATAAAATGTGCACCACCTGCTCAGTCATGTGGTTGTCTTACCTCCTGGATGGCAGAATTGGGGAAATATTTGTATTTCCATTTTATGTCATATAGCTATGAAAATAGAATCATGAGGGTAGAGGAGATTTCAAAGATTTTTTTTGCTTAGCTCCTGGTTGTTTTTGGAGGAGAAGCTGAAGTTACTTGTCCAGGATCACATATGGCAAGTTTTTAAAACAAGAAGGCTAAAATTCAGAAATCATTGTTCTGATGCCAGTCTATGTTCATCTAAACTTCATGATGGTCTGTTTTTTTTCAGTTTTTTTTAATATTATTTAGCTGTCAATGGATCTTTATTTTATTTATTTATATGCCATGCTGAGAATTGAACCCAGTGTCTCACACATGCTAGGCAAGTGCTCTACAACTGAGCCACAACCCCAGCCCCCTTTTCAGGTTTTTATACAGAATCCCAGGATCATGTTGAACAAACTTTTAGGCCACACCTGTGATGTTTTGGGATGTTTAGCAAGATTTTATTGAATGAGCAAAGTATTTGTTCAGAAACAAAAAGATGTCTCAATAGAGCTAAAATTAACTAGAGAGATTTTTTTTTTTTTTTTTTTTTTTTTTGGTAATGGGATTGAACTATGGGCACTTTACCACTTATTTGCATCCCTAGGCCTTTGTATTTTTTATTTTGAGACAGGACCCACTAAGTTGCTGAGGCTTTTGCTAAATCACCCAGGCTGGTCTTGAACTTGCCATCTTCCTATTCAGCCTCCCAAGTAGCTGGGATTACAGGTGTGCGTCACTGCGCTGGATTGAAATGGACTGTACAGTTCCATAGTTCATCTTGTCTGTACAGACATTCAAAGGTGTAGTTTCTTTTGCTGTGAACACACATGCTTCACAGCTCTCTCAAATGTTTTCCTTTTAAGGAAGAAAAGTAAAGGCAGTGCGGCAAACACTACAGAGATCTGTTACCTGACTATGAACTGAGATGCCTTCTGGCTCATCTAAAATATACTGACTTGCCTTGGCACATGCTATTCCTTCTTTCTCAATTATTTTTTCCCACATTTTCTCCTTTTAAAATGATACTAGCACCGGGCATCGGGGTGCATGTCTGTAATCGCAGCAGTTTGGGAGGCTGAGGCACGGGGATTGAAGTTTGAGGCCAACCTCATTTGACTACATGATTAGAGAAATCCTAAGCAACTTAGCGAGACCCTATTTCAAAAAAAAAAAAATACAAAGAGCTGGGAATGTGATTCAGTGGTTAAAAAAAAAATCCTCTGGGTTCAATCCCCCATGCCAAAAAAAAAAAAAAAATCCTAGCTACCTGTATATAAAGTAAAATTGTTTCAAACCCCTATTCTATCTCTGGAGAAACAGCATCCTTCTCACCACCTGTGGATTCTGTTTCTCCTAGTTACCTCTGGCTTCAGTTTTCTTTTAATGTTGACTTCATGATCCTTGATAAGCTTTTCCTTTTATTTCATGTGACACCATGACAACTCATGACCATTCTTTTCCCATATTTCCCCCAAACACTGGATTCAAGATTTCTGTGTGGCAAACTATCCCCAAATTTAGTGGAATAAGCAACAACTCTTTATCCTTTCATACCGTTTCTGTGCACCAAGAATTTGAGAGTAGCATAGCTGGGTGGTTCTGGCTAAAGATCTCTCAAGAAAGCTTGTTGGTGCTAGAAGACCCGGGGCTCCCAGATGGCTATTCAGGTGGTTGCGAAAGCTCAGCTCTGAATTCATGGATTCCTTTTTTCTCATATATATATAAAAAATTCAGCCTTCTTTTGGTCTTTGCTGTCTAGATCATGCCCTGAGCACTTGACCTTTTTTCCATCTTAAAAGGACCTTTCAGACTCAACGGACCTTTCAGACTCAACGGGATAACGTGAGAAAGCTTTGAAATCCTAAAGGGGATAAGGCCCATGAAAATGTGAATGTCTTTCACAAGTGCACATCATGAGCTTAACTTAGAGAGTTTAATGATTAGACATGAAAGAAAGCAAAGTGTAGCTTTTGTAAAGACAAGGTTTTTACTTCAGAATTTCAATTCTTAGGTTTACTTTTCTAGAAAACTTGTAGTATCTTTGAGTTTTTTTTTTTTCTTTTTTCTTTTTTGTCATGCTGGGGGATCAACATTTGAGAATTTTCCAATGATGGGAAGAGAAGGGGCCCTACTCAGCAAAAATAGATGACAAGAATGAGAACCCTTATGTTTTGGGGGGAAATTAGCAGTTTGAAGATAGTTTTAGTTGTAGCAAGAATATGAATAGTTTATTTGAAAGATACAGTAAATCTTGCAGTAATGGTTATTCAGTAAGATGGCTAATTTTAAAATGTATTTTTTTTCTAAAAATACATTTATTTACATTGCTTATTTATTGTATTTTTTTTCTACCTTACAAATTTTGAAATATGAAGTTTTTGCTATAATTTTTATAGTTGTTTCAGAGAGCAAGAAGTGATTTAGCATTTTAAGGGTATTTTAATTGAAAATCATCTAAATGTTTCTTTAAATTCTTGAAAGCAACTAATATCCAGCTTTTTATTATGATATTTTACAGGTTTTAAAACATACTTGTCTTAGCCCATTTGTACTGCTATAACAAAATACCATAAGCTGGGAGCTTATATTCAATTCCCAGCATCAAAACAAAACCCCAAGCCCCAAACTGATTTCTCGTAGTTCGGGAGGCTGTGAAGTTCAAGATCAAAGCACCAGCAGGTTTGATGTATAGGTAGAGGGACTGGCCCATTGAAGGTACCTTTTCATGTGTTGTCACATGGGGGAAGAGATGAGGGGGTGACTGGAGACTCTTTTGTAATGGCACCAGGGCTATTCATCAGGGCTGCCTTCATGATCTTAGGACTTCCCAAAGATGATTAGATTTCACCATATTAATTTGGGGGTGGGAGACACAAACAATCCAACAATGGCAACACTTAAAAAGTTCTATGAATGAATGTGTAACATTTACTTTATACATCCTGGACATATTGCTTTTTCTGAGTCATTTGACTACATGATTTTTAGAGGATTAGGATAAGATATTGCAAATGTGACTTCAAGGGTAGTTTATTTCAAGTAGGTGTTTGAGAAACAATGAACTTAATTCTTGAACTGTGTGTACTTTTTTTCTAGGGAGCTTCAAGTTAAATGAGCTACAGAATTCAGCAGGGAAAAATGAACTGGGTTATCCATGTCCCAAGGGTACAAAGAAATAGAACAGCCCTCTCTTACATACCTTCTCTGTGTGTGAAGTTAAGCATTATTTTACTTATGGTTTAAGTTAAAGGGACTTATTTACAAAATATATTTATATGACAGTTTGATATGCTTTATTTTTCTGCAGGACTCAATTACTGGAATTGTCAACTCTACCAATTTAAGGCACATTTCTCTTTCACTATGAGCAGACCAATTGTACTGAGCATTTTTCTGGCTTTCTGTAGCCTTCTTTTTCTCAACTTTGCCACACAATGTCTGGCCTTCCCCAAAATGGAAAGAAGGGAGTTGGTACATGTTCATGCAGAAGACTGGCAGCCTGAGAGGATGAACACAGATGACCTAGAAAACTCCTCCATTACTCCAAAACAGACTCCTCAACTGGTGTTCTCTGAAGAAGATCAAATGGTAGTGTCAACAGGACCATCAGCAGTGCCAGTAAATGAAGTACTCTTATTTAACAAAGAAACCCATCCCACAGGAACTGGACTCCAGCAGCCTAACAGCCCTGGTCTTTCCACTGTCACTGAACCAGTGGTCCCAGCAGGTGACCAAGTGTTTGGTTCCAGCCAGCCGGAGAAAATGTCTCCTGAAAGCAGACTTTCCAAGATCATGTTAACTGTCCCTAACACTGAGACTGCTTCACTGAATACTGGCAAGAAGGAGGAACCCTTTAGCAGTACCAGCATTCAGCCCATTGCAGAAGGGACCACAGAAGCAACACCAGGTTTTGTGAAATATGTGAACCATCAACTGTTTACAACTGAAAATCAGGATGGAGTTAGTCTCGGGGATTCACCTTCATCCCTTAAGAATGCTAAAGAAATGCTAACCACCAATCCAAGAACAGAGAAATTTGAAGCAGACATGGATCAGAGAACCACTTCTTTTCCTGGTGCTGAGTCTGGAAGCCTTCTGCTGGATGGGGAGAAGCTCCTGCAGAAGACAGCTGATCATACCCAGGCTACTGCCACCGAGCACTTGCTGGTGACTTCTGAGTATGCCCTGAGTGTTGGTTCAGAAACGGATAGCCTTCTGGGAGCCCCAGAAGTCACAGAAAGTGTCAGCAGAGCTTTTCCAGCTGCCTCTATCTTAAGTGATGAGTGGGATGATACCAAGCTGGAGAGTGTAAGCCAGATACGGACCCCAATGCTGGAAGACAATACAGACACTCAGGTGAGAATGGAGCCCTTGCAGACAGAGAGCCATGAGGGGATGGAAGAGGGTCAGCCCTTGACAGAGGCTGCAGAAGTGTCTCCGGGGCTGCCTGAAGAGGAAACAGACATGGGGACAGCCCTGCTAATAGCGCAGGGGGAGAAGAAGTCACCCACCTTCATGGATCAAAGTTCCTTCACTCCCATAGGTCTGATGGAAGATTCCGAAGTTTTCTCTGTGCACATGTTCCAAAATATGGGAGGTTTCGAGGAATCCACCAAGGAAAACAGTGCCATGTTTTTGTCAGAGACTACTGTGTCCATCTCAGAATATGAGTCTGAGGCATATCAGCTGTTGGGAAATACATTGAAAGGTAAAAGAAAGAAAAAGAAACAAACAAACTTTGTTTAATTTGGAAATCTTTCAATTTGGTTTTATTTTTTTTAATATTTATTTTTTGTTGTAGTTGGACACAATACTTTTATTTTATTTTATTTTTTGTGGTGCTGAGGATAGAACCCAGGGCCTTGCATGTGCTAGGTGAGCATTCTACTGCTGAGCCACAACCCCAGCCGTGGTTTTATTTTTAATGGCAATTTAGAAATAGATTATTAAAGTTTTAATGAATAGCTAAAGTATTCACATCAAACCAATGTGGTGGAGATTACACCAAACTATAACCCCTGCATTATGGATAGACCAGGGGTCTATAACTGGGGATAACTTTGCCCACCCCCACCCCTACTTCCTGCCCAATGGGACATTTAGCAATGTTTGGAGACTTTTTCAGTTTTTATAACTGAGGGTTGCTACTGGCGTTTAGTGGATAGAGGTCAAAGTTGTTGCAGAAACATCCTTTAGTACAGCACCCCCACCCTCAATAAGGAAGCATTCAAGGCAATATATTCATAGCATTGAGATTGAGAAACCCTGATATAGATGGATAGTTTCCTAACATTTTACAGTGAAATGTATAAATATACAAGAAAATGTGAAAATGTTAACTATATACTTAAATAGTGTAATAATGTAGATATTTATGTACTCATTGTTGTAAATGTATTTGCATCTCTGATATTTCTTACAAAAAATCTTTAGGTAAGTATTTATCTCATAGTTTTAACCTTATGAGTCCTCTGACTTTATTTACCCACAAATAAATCATCCAGAAATAAGTGGGGTGGGGGCACATTGATCATCTGCTGACTTGATTCCACATTACCTACTTTTTTTTGGCCTTTTCATCTGTGACTATGACAAGCTGACAAGCCTTATGTTTGTTTTTGATGGGCAATGTTTTTCTTTTATTATGTGTAATTAGTCAGATAATAGTGTTGGGAAGGAGAAGCTTAGCATCGAATGCATTTGCTATTTCAAATTATTTTTGAACATGTACAATGTTTTACTTGAGCCAAGTAGCTCAATTAGTGGAAAATATCAAATTTTTAATATGTTTTACAAAGTGTTATTGGGATTTAATTAAAATGATAGATCATTTGATAAGTGATAAAAGGAAGATTTAATTTTATTTTTCTAATTCATTTTTTTTCAAGACTGAAAGAACTGGCATACTATAAGTTTTCATAGAAACTTCCAAAAAATGTCTTGTAATGGACTTTTTAGTGATGTTAAGAGAGTTGGGTTCACATAACCATGAAGATATTTGATATGACCGAACAAGAACATTAATTCTCTGTAACATGTATAAAATGTTTCTGGAGCATTAAGTCAGTCCCAGATTATACATTGTGCAACTGAATCCATGATTCTTATATACCAGCCTTGTATTATCTTCTGTAGATAGAGGCTAAAAAGTAAAATGGATTTGATAATTATCTGATCATTTTGGTTATTGAATATGTTCCTTGGTTATAACCACTTCACTTAACTACAACCTTTTAACAGGCAACTTTTTTTTTATTCCCAGAGTAGAGCATTATACTTGGCCAATTGTAGGTGTTCAATAAGCATAAGTTCAATGGCTAGATAAATAGAGACCCATTCAGACTGGGATCATTAGATTTGATTGCTTATCTTGTCCAAATCAAACAGTTTTTCCATGTTCTTTGAAGAGAGAGGAACAGTCAATTCCCTTAATTTTCTTGGTGTCTCAGAGTTAGAGAATATGAAAGTTGCTATTATGCACAGCAGTGGTTATAGAATAACGAATTTTTTTTTCTGTTTTCTGAAGATTATAAGTGTTTTTTTTTTCTGAAGGAAATAATCCAAATGCCAATCACTTTAGGGCCCCAAAATCACTGAAGACATTATCTTTTTCAGGATATGCAGTGATTCCTTGGTGTTTTGGACATGATTAAGAGATGAGTACTTTGGGATTATAGTCAGTCCTCAGGTTCAGCTGGTTCAACAGGAGATAAGGTTTAAAAAATATTCTATAGTGAGTATTATATTCTTTTTTTTTTCTCTACAGTAAGTAGCAGGAGTGGGAGATGTTGAGAAATTCCTATTACTGTTGAAAGTTCCATTCCTATTTCTGGTTCTCTTCTTCAGCAGTTGTTACTTGTTAAGATGCTATGCATTTTGACATTCTTGTTCTTCCATAAAACTATGGACATAGAGCCAGGCATGGTGCTACAGTGCCTGTAATCCTAGTGGCTTGTGAGGCTAAGGCTGGAGGATCATGAGTTCAAAGCCAGCCTCTGAAACTTATCGAGGCCTTAAGCAACTTAGTGAGACCCTATCTCAAAATAAAATATATGAAAACATGGGCTGGAGACGTGGCTCAGTGGTTGAGTGCCCCTGGGTGCAATCCCTAGTACCCAAAACAAAAACAATAAAACAAAACAAAATGAAAACAACTATGAACATAGGCTTTAGATGTATTTTTTACATGTTCTCCAAAATGTTCATTATGTGTTCAAAATTGAGGACTATGGGGAGAACACATGCTACCTAAATTGACAAAACTATATTATTGTTTTTCTTGTGGCAAACAGAGCATTGTCCTAGGTGCTGGAGATACCAAAGGGCAATGACTCCTGGCTGTCAGGAGATGCACAGTCTTAGTGGAACAAGAGAGAAGAAGGAAAAATCTTAAACAATGGTATAAAGAGCAGATTCAAAACTCAAATAAGAGCTAACTCAATTCCTTTATTCCATAATCAGTTCTATCAAGAGTAAAAATATCTAGAATTAAAAAGAAAAAATAGTCCAAATTGGATGGTACCAAAGAAAGGAAGGACTTTTACCTAAAAGCATACACTGTTTTAAAGCAAATAAATTGTTTATTTTTTTTTTAAATTAAGGTAATGAGATATAGCATGATGTCATTAATGAAAACTTTTTTTGGCTACACCTATAATGTTGTTTTTTCATGTACAACTTATTGAACTTGTTAATATGATATTTATTTAGAACAAGTATTTTAAGAAAGAGACAATAAGAAATTAAGACAATTAGAAATTAAGTAGATGCTAAGTAGTTGAAATCTCCAGCATAGACTCTCCCTAAGAAGATAGCAAGTCTTTGTCCTTATAGATAGTCTTTAATTATGTATTTAAGGAAAATGCAACATTGTAAAGAAGGTGGACCTGTGACAGATAATGGCTCATTCTATATCTCTGTTTCATTCCCTTTTTGAATCTAAAAGCAAATACAAATATTCTGCAGTGGCCACTCCATTTCATTCCTTGGGCATAATTCACACAGTGGTTAAGAGGGCTGGCTGTGTAACCGCAGGTAGCTTCCTTAGCTTTTTCAAACTTAAGTTGTTCTGTAAATTGGGGCAATTTAGATGGTATTTATTGAATAAATACATTTTTTATTGCTTGTTAAGATGCTATGCATTTTGACATTCTTGTGTTTTACAAAGATTAAATCTAATTTAATCTTTGTAACAACTCTATGAGATAGATACTATTGTTATTCTCACTTTACAGTTGAGTAAACTCAAGGTCGAGATGTTAAGTATGTGATTAGGATCACAGCTAGTAAGTGACTAAGTGAGAATTCAGACCTAGGTAAACTGATTAGCCCGTGTTTTGACCTATGTTATTACAGCTTCCAGAGAATAGTGTTATATCCACCCCCCCCTTAGTACATATGGGAGGAAAACATAAGACAATGCACCCCTCTCACTTATTACTGTGTGTGTGGCTCATAATAGAAACTCAGTAAACATGAGTTATTGTAATATTATTCCTTTATTTTAAAAGGCTGACTTCCCTTTCCCTTTCAGAAATGCAAATGTGAAAATTAATATACACAAATGCTTCTGAGAATTTTTTAGTGTAATTTAGTTCTGTATAATTTGTTTCTTAAAAAAACAATTATGTTAATATTCCAGTGTGGCTGGGAGGGAGCACAGCTGTTGATTTTCCTGCTTTGTTTTGGATTTTATTATAGTTTTTCACATTAATTTCTCTATCTCTTCTTTAATTGATTCACAATTCCTGAAAGCAGCAGCAGTGACAACATTCATTCATTGGTCTTTTATTTCTGAGTTCTCCTTTGTTTTTCCAAATTATGAAATATCTATCTGTCTCCCTGCCCCCTAATTTATTAATTACATAGTGAGCTTAAGGTATGGGAATTTAGCCTATTTTAAAATATTTCTCCCCTTTTAAGACATCATCACTCAAGAGATGACAACAGCTACTCAAGAACCAGAAGCCACTTTATCCCTGGTGACACAAGAGCAGGTGACCAGAGACAGTGAAGAGACTGAGGAAGGCAAGGAGTCCCCCCTTCTTGCCTCTGATGTACCTGATATTACTCAGCTGTCCAGACAATGGGAGCCTCTGGCCACTACAGTGTCAACCACAGCCATTCCTTGGTCTCCCAAAGTTACCCCTGCTGCAGAAGGTAAGTGAAAAGGAACAGAATGTGGCAGCTGACTCCATCATCAGCATATATGCATACACCCCACCTGGAAAGGTGGGTGAACTTTTTTATTTGCAGAGATATGGCACCGCCTAGAATACAGAGGGTTCATTTCCAAGTAAAATCTCCTGGTGGCTTACCTCTGGGTCCCTGGAAGGCTGGATCTCTTGACAACTGTCTCCTTCTTCTGCAAGGCTGCTGTTAGGAGCCCGGGTGGGGAAGGTGAAAACAGCAAGGACCTGTGTGTGACTGTCACTAGCATTTGTGGACTCAAGCCAGTTTCTTAACTTCTGTAAGAATTGTTTTGTTCATTTCTCAATAGTGCCTACTTATAGGTTATTTGGTAGATTTGAGATAATGTGTACAAAGTGCTTTCTGTATAGCTCCCAAATGCTCTCTCTCTCTCTCTCTCTTTTTTTTAAATATTTATTTATTTATTTTATTTATTTATTTTTTTTAGAATTTTTTTAATATTTATTTTTTAGTTTTCGGCGGACACAACATCCTTGTTTGTATGTGGTGCTGAGGATCGAACCTGGGCCGCACGCATGCCAGGCGAGCGCGCTACCGCTTGAGCCACATCCCCAGCGCCAATATTTATTTTTTAGCTGTAGGTGGACATAGTACCTTTATTTATTTATTTTTATGTGGTGCTGAGGACTGAACCCAGGGCCTTACAGGTGCTAGGTGAGCGCTCTACTGCTGAGCTACACAACCCCAGCCCCTGCTCTCATCTCTTAAGGGCAATGAAGTTTTCAAATCTAGCTGATTATCAGAATCATTTGGAAATTTTAACAGTTATTTTATTTATTATTTATTTTTATGGTGCTGAGGATTGAACTCAGGGCCTTATGCATGCAAGGCAAGCATTCTTTCAACTCAGCTATGTCCCTAGCCCAATGATTATTATTTTAAAATTGTCATTTATGGATCTCTGTCTCATTGTTGGTCCAAGTAAGGCTTACTTTTAAGTATTTATTGCACTATTTTTAACAATGTAATAAATAATTTTAATCCTACTTCCTACTCGTCCACCACCTGCAAGCAAATAAAACAAAACGAAAAAACTAAGGCTTTGACAATAATCTACATGGAACCCCGTGACTCTTTGCATCTCAACTTGTTCTTCTCCTGGCTGGTAACTGTCTTCCTGAATCTTGTTTTCATAATTGCCCCCACTCTCTCCCCTCACCCCCAATTTTATTGCATCTATATTTACTTCTATAAGTAAACATTTAAACATCTTAGAAATTGTTTATTTATTTATTTTTGGTACTGGGGATTAAACCCTGAGGCACTTTACCATTAAGCTACATCCCCAGCATTTTTTTTTTTTTTTTTTTTGCGGTGCTGGGGATTGAACCCAGCCATTTTTATTTTCCATTTGGAGGCAAAGTCTTGCTAAATTGCTGAGGCTGGCCCTGAACTTGTGATCCTCTTGCCACAGCTTCCTGAGTTGTTGGGATTACAGGTGTGCACCACCACATCCAGCAAAATTTTTAGAAAAAAAGTTGATTTTAAGTTTATAAGAGAAAATTGTTGTACAGATGAACTTTTGGGGCTCACAGTTTTTACTTAATATTCTGTGACTAATATCTTCTTCTTGCAGTTCTTTTCTTCAAGGATGGATAACATCCCACCATGAAAATCTATCAGTTTATTCATCCAATCGTGTATCTTAATACATTTCTGTTAAATTTTCTGCCTTTGTTAATAGATTGTGCACAATCCTGCAATAGAATAGATGAAAGATTTAAAATTTAAAAACGAAGTTTTGATTTGAGGCAATGTATTATCCTGGATGATAAAGTGTTTGCTGTGGACAGTAGGATTTATAGGAAGTGGTAGGGGGAGCTGGTCTAAATACTGAACTTACTATGTGTGAGATATTGGTTTTGTTAATCATTTCTTGCCTAAAAGGTGAAAGCACATGTTTACATTTTCCATAATGCATGATGATCATCTTGTGGGTCATGTCCTATCTCTTGTGTTTGGCAGACCTAACAGACACAGTCACTGGGCCGAGTGAGGATCTGGCACTAGTTTTGGGCTCTCTGGTGACACCCCCTGGAATAATGGTGGAAGCACCCAGCATTTCTCCAACGTTTCCTGCTTTGGAGGCATCATCTGAGAGAACAGTTCCATCCGTTAGTGGCACTAATACAGCTGCCTCATATGGCCTGGACCAACTTGAATCTGAAGGTATCCCTGTTTTGAATGGAATCTTTCTCAGGGTGGATTGAGTGAGCATCTGAGGAAATGTTTTTGAGAAAAGATTAAGTAGAAGTGTATTCAGTCTGCAGGGCAGATCAGGAGTTGGTAGACTCTGGCTTAGCCAAATCTGGCCTGTTATCTGCTTTTGTATGGTCTGTAAGCAAAGAATGGTTTAAAAAATATTTAAATGATTGAAAAAAATATCAAAATAAGAAGAATATTTTGTGACATGTAAAAGTTATATAAAATTCAAATTTTGACATTCATAAATAAGTAAGGCTGTATTAGAACACAGTCAGGCTCATTTATTTATGTGTTGTCTATGGCTACTTTGTATCATGGCAGCAGAATTAAGAAGTTGTTATAGAGACTAAATGGCCCAGAAAGCCCAAAACATTTACAATGTAGCTCTTTACAGAACAAGTTTACAATCTCAGGTATACATCAGTGATTTACAACTGCTGTTGAACATTAGAATTACCTTGGAGGCTTTTCATAAATGTCAATGCTTGAGTCTCTCTCACAGTGATTCAGGTTAAATTGGCATAGGGTAGGATCTGGCATCAACATTTGAAAAGAGTACCTGAGAAGAATCCAATTTTTAGGCTGGATTAAGAATACTTGGTTTAAATGGAGAAGATGAATTTCCTCACTAAATGTCCTTGGATGGAAATTTTATTGTCTATTTTTTTTTAAAGATCATGTGTTATTTATTTATTTATTTTTAGTTGTTGATGGACCCTTTATTTATTTATTTATATGTGGTGCTGAGAATTGGACCCAGTGCCTCACACATGCCAGGCAAGTGCTCTACTACTGAGCCACAACCCCAGCCTCTGTCTGTTGTTTTTTAACAACATTGTTCTGTTGATGCTGGGTTATGCCCTCATAGGTAAGTATATTCTTGTATTAGTCAGCTTTCTATCTTTGTGATAATATTCCCAAGAAAATCCACTTAGAGAAATAAATGTTTATGGCTCATGGTTTTAGAGATTTCAGTCTGAGGTCTCTTGGCCAAATTGCTATGGGCCTGTGATGAGGGAGAACATCATGGCGGGGAGCACATGACAGAGCAGAGCTGCTTATCTCTTGTTAGTTGTGAAGCAGAAAGAGAAAAAGACAGGGAGGGGAGGGACACGATACACCCTTCAAGGACATGCCACAGCGACCTGTTCTTCCAACTAGACCCCACCTCCTAAAGTTTCCAACACCTCCCAATAGCCCCAGCAGTTGGGGACTAGACTTTTAATTCATGAACTTTTTTTTTTCTTCTTTTTTGTCTCTGGGGATTTAAACCAGGAATGCTTCTACCACTGAGCTACATCCTTGGCTGTTTTTATTTTTGATTTTGAGACAGATCTCACTGAGTTGTCTAGGCTGGCCTCAAACTTGCAATCCTCTTGCCTCAGCTTTCTGAGACACTGGGGATATAGGTGTAAGCCACCATGCCCAGCAGTACATGAGACACTGGGGGACAGTCCAGACCTATACTACAACAATTCTCCTATTTCTCCAATAGGCAGGCTATTGATGTACTAAGACTGAGAATTTCATGCCAAATTATACTTTCCAAGACTTTGGCTTTGAGCATGAAAAAGATAGTTGGAACACAGCACATCAACCACACAAGATTAGAAATATAAACCATAGTGATGTAATTACTGTAATCAGCATTTTGATAGGTGAACAATACCTGGCTGGAGTTGTAAAATGCCCAGAGAACTGTCATATAGGTAAACTAGTTAGGTAAGCTCTAGGGCACTAAATTAACCACATGTTTGATGTAGTAATGACACATGTGTCATCTACTGTGGGAAAGGTGGCTTAGCTAGGTTTACAGGAGACTTTGTTGCAGATTTTCAGGGTAATACTGGTAATGTGCTCACAGAGAAATATGACATTTTAAGAAAAGCGTGGAGAATTCCACTGTAGAATACTCAGTTAAGAAATGGACCAAAACGGGCTCAGAGGCTAATGCCTCTTGCACTCCACATGAAGATAAATACCATCTGACTTTGATTTTAGTGTGTCATATATCTGTCTGCTCTCCTTGATGCCATCTGGAAAAAGCAGGTTTCCTCAAATTAACCTGAGTTAAAGATGACAGCTCTAGTTGGCAGAGCTCATTAAATCACAGGGAAAAATTATATTTATGAATAATCTATACTTGTGAAACTGCAGTGATTTTCTAAATTTAGTAGATGATGGCAGTTGTATTGAAATATGTTAGAATTTTCCTGATGTGCCTAAGATGTCCTGGGGCTTTAGTTCTTTTCTTCTACACAGTTCCATTTCAACTTCTTTTTGAGAACATATTTTGTCAGTTTTTGATCTAAATTATGATCCTTGTCAAGGCTTCTGAAAGACATTTTTGGTTAAAAGTTATTCTTCCTGCTACATTGTGGGGCTTAACGTTTGGAAAGAGCACATAATTTTCTCTAAATGGTGTACAGGGTGTGCAATTTATGTTTAATTAGTCTGTATTAATATTATCACAATTAATTTATACTGGTGAATCTAATGCTTGGAAAGCTGAAGAGAGTGCACTTATTTAAACAGATAACCCTACTGTACACTGGTATTTTTTTCACTTAGTCCAGGGTTATAAATACAGTTTGAGGTGTTGACTGCGTGAAACATTTATTTTTTGCTGTACTTGGAATTAAACCCAGGACCTCATGCAAGCTAGGCAAGCAGTGTACCACTGAGCCACATCCTCAGCCCCAAGGGGCTTAAGCATTTTAATCTACTGTAGGATTATATCCAGAGGAAGAGAGTTTATTTTTATCCAGAACAAAATATTACTTATGTCAAGTTATCTTTAGTTGCCTTTCAAGTTTTAATCTCTGTGATGTGTTGACAAAGGACATAGAAGTCTTTCATTTAAGATGTGTGTTTTATTATGTCATTAATCTCTTTATATGTTATCTTAATGTCTTCCTTCCCACTAGGGGCCAGGAACATTTTTTTCAGCGAATGAAGTATTTTTTCTCAATGGGATATGGAAGGGGACATGCCCTTGTTAGATACCAGACACCCATGGACAGAGAACCTTTGTGGAAATTTCTGAATCCACTGTCCTGTTTATCCTCTAGATAAAATTAACAGTCCAAATCAGTCTAAAAATTATAACTACTTGCTGCCCTGTCTTCTTTCCATCTCTCCAACATGATGACTGAAAGTGTAGACTAATTTCCCAGGGCTGCCATAACAAAGTGCACAAACAGGATGGTTTAAAATAAAAGAAATTGCCGGGCATGTTAGTGCTCACCTGTAATCCCAGCAGCTTGGGAGGCTGAGGCAGGAGGATTGAGAGTTTCAAAGACAGTCTCAGCAATGGCAAGGCGTTAAGCAACTCAGTGAGACCCTGTCTCTAAATAAAATTAAAAATAGGGCTGGGGATGTGGATCAGTGGTTGAGTGTCCCCGAGTTCAATCCCTAGTAATGTGCCCCCCTGCAATAAAAAAAATTAAAAAATTACAGAAATTTATTCTTGGGCAGGTCTGAAGACTGGAGACTCCTGAATCTAGGGATAGGCAGGGCTATGCTCCCTCCAAAACCTCTAGGGTTGGATATGCCCTTGTCTCTTCTAGCTTCTGGCAGCTCCAGATGTTCCATATCCTGTGTCAGCATAACCCTGTCTCTTTCCACAGCCATCTTCTCTCTGGGTCTGTGTTCCAGTTTCCCTAGTTTTTCTAAGAACATCAGTCATTGGATTACTGTCCACCCTAATGACCTTATCTTAACTTGATTACATCTGCCAAGACCCTGTTTTCAAATAAGGTCAGTTCACAGCTATTACTGGTCAGGACTTGAGCACATCTTTTTTGGGGGTGCAATTCAACACATAACAGGGTTCCAAAGAGTTTGCCAGCTGTTTTTGAAGGTAGATGTGCTCTGCCTTTGGAACACCCACCTGAGTGCTGTGAATTGGTAGAGTGGGAGAGGTTTGGGTGTGTTTTACATTTATTAGTCACTGAAGACAGCCTCTGTAAGTGTGTGTCACCTTGTGCATATTTCATCACATTTTTTACCTTGTCAGCAAAAATGTAGTTTGATTTTTGAAGGGATAATGGTTTATTTTTCACCTTGCCTGAAACATTTTACTTCATTGTATGAATAAATATTTTCAAGACAATGGAAAATGCATTCTACTAGGGCTGTATTAATCATTTTTGAAATACAAACATGTCATCAGTGCTGTATTTTTTTATTCAAAATGGGGTAATGACAAATTTTATACATGTATTTATTTATTTGTTTATAAATGGATACTCTAACTTTTAGGCATAATCTCTCTATAAGTTGATTTCCTTCTCTTGTCATTCTCTGGACAAAATGCCAATTTAAAATTTCAGATTACTTTTCTTTTGGGTACCAGGGATTGAACTCAGGGGCACTGGACCACTGAGCCACATCTCCAGCCCTATTTTGTATTTTTATGTAGAGACAGTCTCACTGAGTTGCTTAGTGCTTCGCTTTTGCTAAGACTGGCTTTGAACTTGCCATTCTACTGCCTTAGCCTCCCGAGCTGCTGGGATTACAGGCTGGCACCAGTGCACCAGGCATTAGATTACTTTTGAAACATAGTTGGAACACACTTTCTTCTTCTTTTTTTTTTGTTAACTGTCTATAAAGTATTTTAATACTAATATCAAGTGGAATAGGGCTTAACAATATCTCTTGTTTAAAGAAGTTTCACTTTCTGTGTATTAGAAATCAACAGAGGTTATCTATTTGTGCTGTTTTTTTTTTTGTATACTCCCATGGAAGATGGAAATTAATCTGTGCTATAAAATTTTAACAATAATCCTATAGGAAAAAGGATATCAGGGTTCAGGGATTTGGTTAGTGGCAGAATGCTTGCCTAGCATGCATAGATCCCTGGGTTTGAATCTCAGCACAGCAAAAAGCAAAGCAAAATAGAACAAAATAGTCCCCAAAACTCCAAACCAAAAAACTCAAACAATTCAATATTCAGAAAAATC